TCAGGCAAGACAACAGACAAGAGAAAGACATCTCACATTGGGACAGTGGATGTTTGCTTTTCATGGGTATGACCCTGTGTACAGGATGAGAGAGTAAAGATGATGGAGAAGGAATATTTCTGCTGCTTACTCCATGAGAAGCAAGTTCTGACTTTAAATAAACTTGCAGCATTCATAGCCTGAATTAAATTTGTCACTCAGCTCATTAGAACCTCTGACACTCAAATTGTACTGAGCTGGAGCAGAACCATCCACTGTTAATTTCCTACTTTGTCTTGCCTGTGAAATAAAAAACTGCAGATCAACTAAATGTAAAGAACATTGGAGACCTACAGATCTGGAGACAGACTTTGGAGTAATAGGACAAAGGGGAATGATTTCACCCCGCCACAGGGCAGGGATAGATGGGATATCGGGAAGGAATTGTTCCCTGGGAGGGTGGGCAGGCCCTGGCACAGGGTGCCCAGAGAAGCTGTGGCTGCCCCTGGATCCCTGGAAGTGTCCAAGGCCAGGCTGGATGGGGCTTGGAGCAGCCTGGGATAGTGGAAGGTGTCCCTGCCCATGGAAGGGGGTGGGATGAGATGAGCTTTAAAGGGGACTTTAAAGTCCCTTCAACCCTTCAACCCAAACTGTTCTACACCCAGTGTTCAAGGAACACTGAATTGCCACTAAAACCAGAAGAGTCAGGGAGCTGCTTGGAAGTGCAGGCCAGGAGCTCAGATGTTGCAGCTTTCACTTGCAGAGCCATGCAGGGGATTCATGAGCTGCCACAGGTCTACCAGAGTGATGCTGGAAGTCAGAAACATCCCCACACCAAAAAGGCAACCTCAGAGGAGCCACCCCCACCCAAATTCTTGCTGCAGGAGCAGAGTTGCCCTGGCCTGATGAGAAGCACTCAGCCAGCACAGAAACACACACCAAGGCTCTTCATGTGTGTGTGTCCAAGAGCTCAGGCTCCTAGCTGCTCAGATATGTGTCAGCACATGCCGTGGGCAGCACCAAGAAATGAGGTCAAGCAGAAAGCAGCACTGACTCACATCAGGCACATGTGGGGCTCCACAGCAGTTTTGTCTCAAGCACAAAATACAACTGCACAGGCAATAGGAGCTGATGCTCCTGCAAACCTCCCAAACCTCCCTGATCTTTGTTCTTTTTCCCCAAAATCATGGTTTATTTTTATATAGTAGTGCAGAAAGATCCCTCTCTTGCAGCAGAAGTCGTAAACTGCTCTCAGCAGTGAGAGTGGAACATGAAGTGCACTGTGGCAAGAGAAGCAAATCATTGACAAGTGTTGTCACAGATTTCTCATCTGCACAACTAATGCAGCAACTGAAATTATCCATCACATACAGAAGACCCTGTAAGGTCTCTGGGGGGTTATTCCCAACCTGTAGCTTTAGGGACCTAATCCTATAAATCCTCTAAAGTGTGTGAAAATGGCTGATGTCAACCGTGAGCATGAAGGGCTGAGGCACTACTAAAAATAACAGGAACACAACTCCCCACCCTGTTCAAAGCTGAAACCCTCCAGCTACAGCTATCTCATCTAACCTAATAATTCATTGCAAATAACATTAAATATGCAATCTCTTTCTCTCTCAGCTGTTTCCTGCATGTTGGATTTGCTCACCCAAGCCAAATTCTCATCCCAAATATATCACAGGAAGCTCAGAAATATTTGCCGGTATGTGGCACAGGTACCTCTCCTTCTGGACTTTTCACTCATTACAACATTTTTCAAAAATCTCTTTTAGCTTTCCAACTACAACGGAAAGAAAATGAAAAGTTTATACTTGGGAATTTTCTTGGCTATAAGATAAAATCAGAAGACATGCAATGTCAAATCCACTGATCTAATTGAAGGGAAGATGGGGCCCAGAGAGGCATGGACAATCCATGGGAGGAACAGCTCCATTTAAAAGAGGACACAGACAAAAAAGATAAAATAGAAAGGAAAAACACAACAAGATAACAAAGCATAATGGAAGGCAAGGTTTGTTTCAAGTATAGGGCATGAAGGTGTCAGGCACTGAATGTGTGTTTGAAGAGCATAATACTTTTGATCCATTAATGTGTATCCAAGTTAGGAACAAAGCAGGTGGATATGACTACACTGACCTTAGGCAGGTGTGGAAAAACCACCCTTTGCTTAAATCTTTTTTAGAAGTAAGGACAAGAAAAAAGAAAAAACTCAGAACTCCCAAATGACAAGACTTATTAAGCTGATTCCTTTTTACTTCCTCAAATGCACAGGACTGGCAAAGACAGCAAGGAGGGGAATGTCCTTGCAAGGACTTGGAATACATGTAAAATCTCCTGCCTGCAAATGCTCCAGCCCAAGCTGCGGGAGCATTAGCAAATGGCAGAGTGTAAATCCAGAGACAATTACCCTGACACACAATAACAAAGGTATCACCAGGAAAAGCCCCAGCTCGGCCCTGGAGCAAAGCCCCAGGCACACACATGGCCTCTGCACAATTCCACAAGTCTCTCCTTCTTGAAGAACTCCTGTTCCTGAGGGTGGGCTCCACAAAGGGCCAGGGAAACACCACTTGTGTGAGCCAGGCCAGGAAACAAGGAATTGCTTGCCAAAGTTGGCTGTGACAACCCTATTTCTCAAACTCTCCTATGTGAGCAAAGCACACCCACTGCTTTCTATAGTACGGTCCAAACACTGGAGGTTCTGAGGGAAAAATACTTTTCCCAATTTACTTCCTGTGTTCTGTTCAGGCCGTGTTGTGAGGGATTACCCTCCCCTGTGAGGAATTAAGCACAAGTGTATCAGACTGAAGGGTGCCCAAAGATCTGTAAAATATAGGGGTGTCTTGGGGTCACCCCTGCATCCTCTGCTTTCCTACCACAGCCTGAGACCTCAGCACTCCAAAGGTTCCCACACAGCATTTGAGGGAAAAGATGAAAGCAGCTGAATCTCAGTGCTGAGGCAGCTGCTGTCAGATTTATGGTGAAGGAGATTAAGAGCAATGCCACGTGCTGAGGAGCAAAACAGCTTCACTGCACACCCACTCTTCCCTACAAAACTTCCAGCAACTGACAGCTGGTACCTGACAGCTCTGTGAGATCCGTGAGATCCGCGCTGCCTCCACACCAACGGGAGCCTCCATCTGAACACAGCAACTGTGGTGTAACCATGTCTGCATCCAGCTCAGCCTGCACGGACCACCACAAGACTGAAATGCTGCTCTACAACAGCAGATCCTGCTGGGAACACAGGATTTTCACAGGACATCGTGGGGGAGGAGGGGGCTAAGGGGTCTATATTCAGCTCCCTACTCCACAGCACAGTCTGCTGGGTGACCCTGCAAAAGGAACATGTTCATTGGAAAGAGAACTAACAACTTTGCTAAGATTTGCTGAACAACTAAAGGGTGGCATTTACAATGCCAGCCCTCAATTCCCAGGGAATTTTAAGTTCTGTAATACTGAAAAACTGAAAGCAAATAAAACTAAACCACTTCAAAATTAAGCCTTTAGACACGTGCTAACAAGCTTACAAAGGATTTGTGTCAAGGCAGCCCTTCTCAATTAGCAGCCAATCTACTGAGGAGCATCTGGTGGTAGCTTTATCCTGCTAAAAGAGACAACAGAAATGTGGAGAGGTATGCACGGAGCAAAGGCTCCCAGGATCTTCATCACAGGTGCTGGTGTCTTATTCTCAGGTAGGATGCACTGAGAGAGCAAAGAGCATAGCCAGGAAAGCTTCACTGCCACAGACATCAGCCCCAGACTGGGCAGGGCAATTCTGTGGCACGTTACTGGTTTAGACATGGCAAATCTGGGTAAGACTGGGAAAAAAGAGGGTGCATTTGGGAAGGAGCTCAACTGACAGCAAAAGCAGTGTTCATCTGGATGATCAGACAGCAAAGAGAACAGCAATCACTCTCAGCTGCTGCTACTTTTGGGGTCCCTTATTCACAATGAGGAATAAACTGCCCCAGTTTTGACCGTTGAAATAAAAGACTGGAGGCTGTTTTGGACAAAACAAATCTAAAGGCATGTATTTCTCAGGAATCTTGAAGAGGCCACATTGTCAAGAAGAACTCAATAGAGACTCTCCCTTCCATTCATGGGAATCACATCAGCTGTCTGCAAGGGCTGCAGCTTTCCATCCTCATTCCCAGACTCCCATAGACTAAAGGAACTGGGAGCAGGCAATGGAAGAAGCAGCAGGTAAAAGTGGCAAACACCAAGTCTGGGGATCCCTTCAGCTGACTGAAATGCCCAGTAGATTGCAAAACAAAACCTTGCAAGACTCCATAATCAAGCTCCTCTAAAAATGCCCAAATGCTGCCTTGAAATGCAACAGCAAACCTTTGAGAAGGGTATCTGACTCACACCTCATTGTGACAAAGCCCAGAATGCCAGAGAGAAACTCTGCCTAAAGCAGCTCCCACGGTCAACATCAGCCTTCTGCATCCCCAGTAAATGAACTTCAATGACAGCCCTCAAGCCCCTTGTGGAAATCACAAAATTTGGAAAGAGATCACCTGACAGTTCAATCAGAGTGGATTGGGAAGAACAACACAGAAGACCTTTTCCTAGGATTTCCAGCCTTTAACCAAATCAAAAAGCTCAGTATTATTCAGCATCCAGTAGATACATCCATACTACAGTGCTGATTGGGATCACATCTGGACAGATTTTGAACTGAGTGGCATTTGGTGATATGGCAAAGAAGGTGTCTGGCCACAAACTGACCCTGCCTAACAATGTCAATTTCTTTTTTTCCTTCCTTGTCAAAGAATAATTACAGAAGGTTGGATTTTCTTAGGTTTTTTTTTCTTCCCCCCCCCCCTTCTAACAATTAAGTTTCCATTCTTAATGCTGAGATACTGATCCTTATTTTTCTTGGAGAATTGAAGGAGGGGAGCTAAGGCTCAGCTCCTGCAGCAGGACTGACACAGACATCAGCCAAACCTGCAGTCCCCACCTCCCACTGGCCCTCAGCAGCTGGAGCAGAGAAAGTGTTGAGTGTTACTCACTGCCATGACGAGCTCAAAAGGGTATTTGTAGACTCGAACTGGGGACTGGTATTTCTGCACCATTTTTACCACACACCTGTAATAGAGAAAAATTGGAATATTTTAGATCCCCCACGTCAAGCAGTGCAATACATAGGTCGTTTTTACAGATTTTACTAGAAGTTGTAACTCTTCCTTACAAATAGAGAGAAGATTTACTAGGTAGAATATCTTGCCCAGTAAGTGGCAGAGACAAGTCTCTGCAGTCCCTGTTTCCAGCATCCTGTGCTGCTTCCCAGCAGTACTGCAGTAAATTCAACTTGGAGCTCCAACAGAACTCCCAACAATTAAAGCACAAAACAGAGATGTAAAGGCAGAATGAATCGTACTGTGGAGAAGAAGCCTGTCTTAGAAGCCTTGCAGAGCTTAAATGGAAATTCTTTTCCATATCCCCCTTCCCTACATTATATCTGTAATCATTAGGGCAAAATCTTTCTCATTGAAAGCTTCCACAGCTTCCCATAGCTCAGTGTTTTAAATACTTTTGTGCACAAAGTAGGATTCAGTTGTTTTAGCTCACTGAAAGGAAGGAAAAGGAAGCAGCATGCTGAAAGAACATGCCTGATGCTAAGCTGGCAATCACATCCCACTGCCTGGATGCCGACTGTTCCAGCTGAACTGAGGCAAGAACTGCAGGCAATGGGAACAATTCAGTCCTCAGCATTTCCCTGCTCCCAGCCACCTCTCACTGTCCTCATCAGGATTCCTCCCTCAGACTCTCCTGCCTGGGTTTTAACCCTCAAACATGCATCAGTAACCAGCATCTCAAGGGAGCTACACAAATCATTATTAGGGTGCTTTCTGCAATTCCTTTAGGAATTCCTTTGTACTGCTCCTGCTAATGCCATCCATGAACATCAGGACACAAAAGGCTGGATGGCTGGTTGGAGGCACTGTGCTCATTCCACCCCACTCAAATTCCACTGCTGAGCAGACACAGCCCTCGGCAACATGACGCAGTGTAGCGTTGAACTCAACAGTCAGAGCACTCAGACAACTTATCCCTGACATTTTCAGCCCAAAACCAGAGGTGAAACATGAAAAGGCAATAGATTCTCCCTCAAAAATTACTGCAAAATGCCATCACACTGTAAAATCTAAGCAAGGGCAAGGGGGAAAGGACTTTAAAAGTTTGAGTACCTGAGAATGGGGGATTTTTTGAGAAATAGGGTCCAGCAATCAGACAGTTTCTCTGCAGAGGATCACATTACCCAAGCAGCAAAAGTCAGGAATCGCTGGATCTCTCACAGTCTCACTGGTGCTAAAAGCCAGTCAATGCAGGGAAAAACCTACCAGCAGAGCATCCAACCCAGAGTGCAGCGAGAGGAGCAGGGCAAGCACACCCCAGGAAGCCCGGGCTGCTATCAGGTATCAGATACCCGAGCCAAGAGGCACAGGGCACCTTGGAACACGACCTGTAACATGATTAGGCTGGGTGGGGACCCTCCCCGTGAGTGCAAATAGAGCTGGAGAAGCCTCCTCAAGTACATTTAGCTGGGATCTTGCTTATTCTGACCTCACCTCCTTCACCAGGACTTCTTGCACCTCTGCAGGAGAAGGTGAGAGACCTCCACAGCAGGAAGGCTCAGAACAGAGTCTAGAACAGAACTCAGTCTAGAATCACCCACAGCCCAGGAACAGAGGCACCAACCACAGAACAGTGGGATGGCACAAGTGTAGCTCAGCAGCCTTTAGCTGCCTGGACAGACCTGCTGCTCCCTGGCAGCTGCTGGACCCAGCTACCACAGGTTTATTGCCTCCGTGCTTCCCCAGCTAAGGGAAGGCTGGGAAAAAGAGCCAGTGACTATTTTACCCACAGGAAACAGTGGGAAAATGACAGCTGATAACTCACAACTGGCCTAGAAATCTTTCATACCTCAGGAGAGTGCAGTGGCAGCAGACCTTCTACACCCTCTCCTCCAAACAGAGCTGTGAGATGGTCATTGTGCTTCTCAAAGCAACAGGGACTCCTGCTCTAAGTCCTGGAAAAAAGGGAAAAAAACATCAGAAAAGGCAGTGAAAGATGGCTACTTGACATATTTGGCTGAAGGTGATGATTAGCACAGGTAAGGACAGAGTCTCAGGTGTTACCAATGGGCATCTGGGCTCAAGACGTGCATCTTCCCAGGGCTTTAGCATCAAAGACAGATGTGTTTTTAAAGTCATCTTGTGTTCCACTCAAATTATAAACAGGTGTGTTCAACTACCAGAAAGAAACCACCTAACCAGAGAGTATGTCTGCTCCTCTAACACCCATCCAGCTCTACACAGTGGCCCAAGCTCCCTGCTCGACTTCCTATTAGCATCTGGCTAAAAAAACATATCAAGAAAGACAGGTCAGGTGAAGAGCAGTGACACATTGAACTGCAGCATGACCTTAGAAATCTCAGTCGACAGGTGGAGGCACACCTGGAGCATCCATGGGGAAACACTCAGAAAGAGGCTCAATTCCAGCTGGCCAAGCCCAGAGTAGTTGATAAAAGCCCAGGAGTAGTTGATAAAAGCCTGGAAGTTGGAGTTGTTAATGTATTGAAGCAACAAATCTGCAAAAATAACAACCATCTCAAGCAGATATTAAAAGTATTTCAATTCTTGCACACCTGAAAGTGGAAAACAGCAACAGCCACCACATTCCACAAAGCATCCTGTGACACACTGTGACAACAGCACTGAGCCCCGAGAGCCTCAGCTCCCTGGGCACCCCTTCTGCTCCAGCCCACACAGCAACTCCTCTCTGAACCAAGCAGAGAGAGCTCATTACAAGCTCAAGATCCACCTGCTGGGTGTTCCAGGGAAGAGGAGGGATATGGAGCCCTGATGGCATTTGCTGTAGCTCTGGGAGCATTCCAGAGATGTGAATTCTGAAGAAACAGTCATGCACCCGAAGCTCCCCCAACACAGAAGGCAGGCCTGTGAGGGCTCCCGTGAGGAACACACATCACCACACACAGCAAAGGGACAGGCAGTGACATTAACTGTGTGTTTCCTTCTCATCTACAATCAGCCACTGTGCACCTGAGGGATTTTCCATATGCTTGAATTCCATTCTACTATTTGTAGGAGCAGCTTACTCAACAGAATATAGCCAGATGGTCAGAAATCAGAAACTGAGCGTATAGATTAAATATACAGAAATCCCTGCATCAAACCCCCTACCCCTGCTTCTCTCCCAGGCACAGAGCTCAGTCAGCTCCTTCCACACTGGAGCTGCCTGTTGGATGTGGAACTGGCAGCAAGTGACTTTATTAACTTCTCCCACCTGTGGTGGCTGCTTTTCATCTTGAAGAGAACTAAGCAGGTTTTTTTGTTTTGTTTTTGACAAAGAACTGCTGAAAATAGCAGGATTCTTGACTTCCTCAAATACCATTACACCACGTGAAAGCCAGCTGTGGCACCCAGCTAGGCTGATATTTCCAGTTAGAAAAGGGAGACTCCACAGGGCTGCATTCTTTCCTCCTGTCTTCTAGAGAAAGGTGGAGAGAAAGATGTGTGACATTTCCTCTGCCTGGGGTGCCTTTCACTTAGGGAGATATTGTAATTGATGCTTTACACACAGAATAATAACACAGTACCAAGCTGCAGGATATTTATTAGAGCTTTTTCACCTAAGAACTTAAGAACAAGTCTTTTGAAGCTTGATATAAGGAAGCCTCAAGGCAGAACGGTGCCACAATAAACCTTTACCATTTTTTAGAAGCAGACATTGCTCAGGCAGGACTTGATTTTGCCCCCTGAGAAACACCTCTGGAGAAGGTGAAGCAGCACAGAGGGTGCAGGTCATTCCTACACCTGGCAGAAGTACCTGCAGTCTTGGCATGGATCAAAACCAAAGACAAGCAACACAAACACCCAAACAACATTTAAACGTTCCTAACCACACAATAAGGAACAGTCTTTTTGGCTGAGGGGAAGAAGGAAACGGAACAGTGTCCAGCACTCTGCTCTCAGAGCTGTTTCTCTTCCATGTGTGTATCACAACAAGCTCCATGCCCAATATTTCCACACATCCATCTCATAAGGTAATTTTCTCACCAAACAACTGCCACAGAACGTTTATGCACAGCAATACATTAACTCCCTAATATTTGCCAGCCTGCAGCAGGAGATAAGCATTCCTGAAGTAAACCCCCCTCATTCCTCACCTTACTACTCCACAGGAAGTCATACCACATTGATTTATCCATCCACAGTGTAGGAAATAGTTCAGTTCTCAAACACAATTTAAAAATAAGAGACACTGAATCCTGGAATGGTCTGGAGTGGGACTTTAAAGCCCATCCTGTTTCCCCCCCTTGAAATGGACAGGGACACCTTCCCCTATCCCAGGCTGCTCCAAGCCCCATCTACATGGCCTTGAACATTGCCAGGGATGGGGCAGCCACAGCTGCTCTGGGCAACCTGTGCCAGAGCCTCACATCCCTCCATCCCTTGTCCCAAGTCCCTCTGCAGCTCTCCTGGAGCTCCTTTAGGCCCTGGAAGGGGCTCTGAGGTGTCCCTGGAGCCTTCTCTTCTCCAGGTGAGCACCCCCAGCTCTCCCAGCCTGGCTCCAGCCCTTGGGGTGTCTCTGTGCCCTCCTCTGGACCCACTTCAACAAGTTCACATCCTTGTTCTGCCAAGGAACCCATGCTTCAGTTTCATGTGTAAATCAAGAGTAGACCCAGGCAGCAGCTCACTCGACAGTACATCAAAGCACCAGCAAACTGTTTCAGTCTGCCTTGAATGAAGTTTGCAGCTGTATTTTCTTTGAACAGAGGCTGGCTGTCATCAGCCCCACCAGGTAAGTGGTGCCATCAACACATCAAGCACCTCACCATCTATAGACCAATTTTACTGCTTGGAGGAGTTAAGCCAAGCGACCCAGAGAATACACTCGGTTCACCTAGTCAAGCTGACTTGAAAACATGGAATCACAGAATGGTTTGGAAGGGACCTTAAAGCCCATCTCGTTCTAGCCCCTGCTATGGGCTAGCTCTAGCCCCACTAGCCCAGGCTGCTCCAAGCCCTGTCCAGCCTGGCCTTGGACACTTCCAGGGATGGGGCAGCCACAGCTTCTCTGGGCACCCTGTGCCAAACCCATCAATGCATTTAACAGCCACTGCTCAGGATCACCCTTTCAGTTTATAAATACTTCAGGGCGAGTTTCAGGGCAGATTTGTTGAACCCCGAGTCCGCGGGGAGCTCGGCGTGCCCGGCTCTCCGGAGCCGCTCGGGGCTGGTGCTGGGGTCGCACTCGCAGCCCCCTCCATGGCTCAGCCCACCCGGAGCGAACCCCGCCCGCCCCTCAGCCGGCGTCCGTCCCACTCCCCCCACAAACCTGACAACTTTAGAACCGCTGTATTTTGCCCTTGCACCTGAAGGGATCCCCCGACACTCCGAGCCCACCGCCCGGGTCTTCACCGGCTCCCTCACTGATCCCACAGGATTATGACTAAAATTTCCCTCTCAGCTTCTCGTGGCTGAAGGAGAGCGGCTCCTGGCGCCGCACACCCACCCGGCGGCCCCGCTCTGCCGCCTCACGACGGGCCCGGGCACACGAGGCAGGAAAAGCCTCACACCCCTCACACCCCCCCGGCTCTCCCTCACACGGCGGCCCCAAGGGACCCTCGGAGAGCCTTGCTCACCGCGGCCGCCTCCCGTATCCCACACCCATATTCCCGATCCCAGCTCCCCTCCCGCCCGTCCCGCTCCCCCTCACCGCGGGCGCGGCGCAGCCCGGCCGGACCCATCCCGCTCTCGGCGGCTCCCGCGGCTGCGGCGGCCCCGCCCCTCTGCCGGCCCCGCCCCCGCAGGGCGCTGTCCGTTGTGCTGCGGGGGGCGCAGGCAGGCCCCGCCCCCCGCACGTGCCGCCCCCCCCCCCCCCCCC